TCTCAAATAACCAGTACCTCTTACACTGGGAGGGGGGAAAGACATTAATGACATAAATTATAACTGTGATCTTAGTCCTTTTATCCATTATCATAAACATATTAAGAAGTTGGTAATATTAACAGGGGAGTATATTCTATTTCTGCTCCTGTAAAAATTTGCAGCCTTGGAAACCCTGTGCAGTGTCACTATGAGTCGGAACCAACTCCATGGTACTTAACAACAAACAACATATTCTATTTCAAGGGTAGATTTTAAAATACAGATTCCAGATATAATATGTTACTGTTGTTGTTAGGAGCATTCGAGTCAGTTCCAACTCATAGTGACCCTGTGCACAACAGAACAAAACACCGCCTAGGCCTGCACCATCCTCACAACTGTTGTTACATTTGAGCCCATTGTTGCTGCTACTGTGTCAATATGAGGGGACTGAAAACACTATGGCTTGGGTTAGGCACACCTTAGTCCTCAAAGTGACCTCTTTGCTCTTTAAAACAGTTCATCTAGTGATTGGAGCAGCAGTTCTGTGCTGTTGAGTCAATGCCAACTTACACAGACCTCACATGATGAAGTGGAATCCTGGTGCGGAGCTGTGCGTTAATGCGCTGGGCTGCAAAGTTGGTTTGAATCACAAGGTCAGCGGTTCAAGCTCACCAGTTGCTTCTCAGAAACCTTATACAGGTCATATGGATCAATGGTATGATGAAGTAGATCAGCCTCATACAGTTTCCTAGACTGTGATCCTTAAAGAGCTCTGATTTTCAAGCCCATCCAATGACTTTTCAGAAGAAAAGACGTGGGGATCCGCTCCCATGTAGATTACAGCCCAGGAAACCTTTGGGGGCAGTTGTACACTGTCATACAGGACTGCTGGTTCAGAACAGACCTGATGGCACACAACAGAACAACACCAATCTTCACCAGAGCAGATCACCAAGCCTTTTCTCCCACCAAGCAGCTGATGGGTTTCAGTTAGCAGCTGAGTGCTTTAACCACTGTGCCACCAGGAATCCGGCACCATGAGGATTAAATGAGTTCATATATATAAGGGACAAGGCAACGAGCTACATTGGCACAGTGGCAGCAACACTAGGCTCAAGTGGGGCAGGAACTGAGGATGGTGCAGGTCTTGTTGGTGTTTCGTTCTGTTCATGGTTTTAGGGTCACTATGAGTTGGAACCAACTGGACGACACTTAGCAACAACAACAGGCACTGGACTGGCAACCACAAGGTTGGTGGTTCGAGTCCACCACCTGTTCTGCAGATGAATGATGAGGCTTTCTGCTCCTGTTAAGATTTTAAAAAGCCTCAGAAACGTTACACAAGGTCACTATGAGTCCCAACTGATGACACTTAGCAATAACAACAACAACCTAGCACATGATAAGTGCTATATAAGTACTGTTGTTGTTAAGAAGTGCCGTCGCGTTGGTTCCAACTCATAATGACCCTGTATAGAGTTTCTGAGGAGGGGCTGGTGGGTTTGAACCAGCAGTCTTGCAGTTTAAACCACCTCTGCAGTCCAGTGCATTATCCTGCAGCACCACACCAGGACTCCCTGTAAGTTTAGTTAAGCTGTTACCATGATGACTGTTACTGGAGTCTACGTTTAAATACAAATCTGCAGAATCTTTCGCCTCCTCTTTTTTCCTACTGTACCGTTCAACCACAGGCAATATATTAAAGGTATTGAGCCAGCTGTTCTCCAGTCTTTACTCCTGATTTCATTTCTCCATCCCAAACTTTAGGATCTGTAGCCATTTCAAAACTGCAATCCACATCTTTCTTTTTGTTACATATGAATAACTAGGCATGGAATGAAAGGAAACAGAATAAAGAATGAAAAACTCTTAACACCTGATGCCTGTAAGTCATTTTCACTCTGAGTAGAAGTTAATAATTGTTGTTGTTAAGTGCCTTCGAGTCGATTCCAACCCATAACGACCCTGTATAGGGTTTCCGAGGAGCAGCTAGTGAGTTCGAACTGCCAGCTTTGCAGTTCAAATGGCTTTGCAGTCTGGCACATTAACCCACAGCACCACACCAGGGCTCTAAGTTAATAAACACCTAGCTGAAAATTAATCAAGCTAAAAAAAAAAAGCTTCTAATAGCAATAAGATACTTGACTGCACAAGGACACAGTCATGCATTAATTTGCAACATAACGAAACAAAGATAGAACAGTAGGTGGTATACTATTAAGCACCTATTCCACAGTTTCCAGTTTGTTGTTGTTATGTTGTTAGATGCCATAGAGTCTGTACCAATTCATAAAGTACCCTATGCATAGAAGAACAAAACACAACTTTCCAGGTTAGGGCACATTAACTTTCTCACTCTTACCTAGGAAACATTTCTTTTTTCTAGCTACTAGAACTGGTAACTACTTTAAGTGCACACTTGGAAATCATGCCTTATAACTCATTCTTTCACTAAACAAATACTTAGACTGCTGCCTTGTATCCAGTTTAGGCCAGGATTGCAGTTAAAGACAATCCAGCAAGGGTAAAGACTTCAAGCAAATGTATACAGCAGCATTTCTTAAAAAACATTCTATCCAGTTTAAAAAAATGTTATTAGAAAGGGAAGCTCTGGTGGTATGGTGGGTTAAACACTGGGCTGTTATCACTGATTCAGTTTGAATCAGTGATTCAAACCCACCAACCACTCAGCTGGGGAAAGATAAGGCAGCCTGCTTCTGTAAATCCAGCCCTATGGAACAATTCTACTCTCCTGGCACTTAACAACAACAACAACAACAAAGGATTGCTAAAGGAGCTCTGGTAGCGTAGTGGTTACAAATCGGGCTGCGAATCTTAAGGTTAGCAGTTCGAAACTACCAGCTGCTCTACGGGAGAAAGATGAGGCTTTCTGCTCCTGTAAAGAGTTACAGCCTTGGAAACCCTGTACAGGGTCACTATGGGTCAGAACTGACTTGAAGGCACTTAACAACAACAAAGGGCTGTTATGAGTTGGGTGAGACTAGAGGGCAGTGGGTTTGGGGGGTTTTTTTGAAGGGGGAAACTAGGGAGGGTTGGATTTTATATTAGGAAGCAGTGAGTTTCAGTTTATGGTGATGGAAAATTTGGAGTTTATGGTGATGGAAATTTGGCAATATGGGTGATGATTGCACATGATTAATGTAATTGATATCACTAAGTTGTTATTGTTAAGTGTGGTCGAGTCAGTTCAGACTCTAGACATCCTGCATAGGGTTTCCAAGGAGCGGCTGGTGGATTTGAACTGCTGACCTTACAGTTCATACTGACCTTGTAGTCCAGTGCTTATCCTACAGCACCACACCAGGATTCCTAAAAATATTGACCTGGCAAATGTTGTGTTTTGTGTGTGCGTATATGTGTATAAAGTTGTTAAGTGCCATAGACTTGGTTCCAACCCTGTATAGGGTTTCCGAGGAGTAGCTGATGGGTTCGAACTGCCAACCTTTGGATTTACAGTCCAGTGGTTACCCTGCAGCACCATAAGAATAAATACAGGTGCCCTGGTAGTATATTGGATTACCAGTTGGGCTGCTAACTGCAAGATCAGCAGTTCAAATCTACCGGCTGCTCTGCAGGAGGAAGATAAGCCTTTCGGCTCCTGTAAAGATTTACAGCCTCGGAAACCCTATGAGTGAGAACCGATTCGGTGGCACACAACTACCACCTACCATCAAGAAGAAATAAAACCTTTGTGACTTCCTAACACAACAAACAAAAAATTAAAATATGGATACAATACATATTTTAATTTAAAACTTGTAATTTAATTTAAAAAATTAAAATAAGGAGACAATACAATATTTTCAATATCTTGAAAATACAGCCCTTCCCTCCATCGGACCTGGTCATAATGTCTGTACAATTGTTTTTATGATAAATAGTAACTTAGTAGACTAGCAATAACTGAAATAACCAGCTAACCTATGCCTGCTAAACCTATGCCTGTTTCATTCCAGAACATGTTTAAAGTGCATATTCAAAGGAGCAGAAAGCCTATTAAACCTAGGCGTTTCCATCTTGTTAACTTGTTGCCTGGACCTTCGAGAACTGACAGCCTAGCCCAAGGACTTTATTACACGTTAACTAAGGGCAGACCTGGAAAGCTGGGCTAGTAAGATCTGAAATCTACATTACTACCTTATCCCGTGACCCAAGGCTCCAGGAGATCCAGTGCAGAAGTCCAAGACCAAGATCCGTCCTCAGTCACGTGAGGGGGCCCTAGCCTCAGGTGATCCCAGGAAGCAGACAAGGGTTTGGAGGTGACAAGAAATCCTTCCAAGTCAATGTGTGCACACCTACCTACCAGTAGCGCCTCTACGGACACCTGATGTGCACTTGCCCAAAACAACACGGCAAAAATACAAAATAACTACCTTCCACAGCTGAATCCTTTGAATTCTGGACGATCACATTCTCAACACTGCAAATTCACTTGCAAACAACAGCTGCCCCTTGAGCAAGTTTTCAGATCCCCGGGGGTGGGGTGGGGGTGGGGATGAGATTAAAATGAAGTTACTCTGTCAAAGGTTAAAAGATTAGAAAGTCGACTGAGAGGAGAAAGACTGTGAGAGGAGAAAGACTGCGAGAGGAGCAGGGAATACGAATTTAAGAAGGCTGTGGAGGAACCGAGACAGACAGAAGAAGAGCTGGAGAAGAGCAGGGGGAGAGGGCGCGGCGGACGGGGGCGCGGGGAGGGCAAGGCCCGAAGATGAGATTCAAATGACTTGGGAGACCTGAAGGAAATCCGCAGAAGGTTCACCTATCACCCCAAAGAGTCGGGAAGATGAGAAGCTGACGCCAGCTGCTGACAGGGAGCTAGGCACCTCAGGGAAAGGCTGGGCCCTGGGGCTGCTCCCCGGAGCTGCAAGGAGGATGGGGAAGCGACCACCAGCGCGCCAGAGGTCGTGGTGCCCCCGCAGGGACTGGGGGGCGCCCGGAGGGTCCTGAGGTTCCGGGAAAGGCCACTCGGCAGGGGCTCCGACACCTCTACTCACCTCTCCGAATTGGAAGGCTGACACGATGGTGACAACGATGCCCACGAAGCAGACGTAGAGCCCATACCTGTGGGACAGGCAGGTATAGGTCTGTCTCTGTAGGAGCTTGAGCAGCATCACTCCGGCCGCCGCCACGCCTCGCGTCAACTAGCGGTCATTCAGCGGCCCCTGCAGGGCCGCCGCGCACAGGTCACAGCCTCCGGTAGCTCTGCATTGCCGCTCCGGGGACCGAAGCCCGCTCGGCTCCGCGCTGCGGCCGCCGCTTCCGGGAGCCCGAAGCCCACGCCCTCCGCAAGGCGGAGGCGGACCCGAGGCCCACGAGGTGGCGGGTGCCGCCTGGCCGGGCTCCGCGAGAGGCGCTGCGGCTGCGGCTGCAGGGCCGCCAGCGCCACCTAGAGGGCGGAGGGGCCGAGAGAAGGCCGCTTCCCGTCTGCGCGTGCGCTGCCGCCTATCCGGACTGGGTTAGGATCTATGTATAGGGTTTAGCCAGGCAATCCTGAAATTGGGCTCTGCAGTCGCCTAAATGGCCTAAAGGGCTGCATCAAGGCCATACCACAGAGTATGTTAGAATGCTATGAATCCTTTTGTACATAAAGGATTATTTGCTTTTACAAGAATTGTTGTCGTTGTTATGTGTCGTGGAGTCGGTTCCTACTCACAGGGACCCTGTACAGGGTTTCCGAGGCTGTAAATCTTTATGAGAGCAGAACGCCTCATCTTTCTCCCGCGGAACAGCTGGTAGTTTCGAACTTCTGACCTTGCGGTTCATAGCCCGATTGGTAACCACTACGCTTCCCATTGAGAAGCTATTTTTTTTAAGCGTGTGGGGGTCCTTCCCTCATAACCATATTGTTTGAAATAGGAGATCTTTGAACTAAAGATGCTAATCCGAAATTCATTCATTCATAAGTATGCCTAATTCTGACCCATAGCGACCTTATGCACAACAGAAGGAGACACCACTCAGTCCTGCCCTATCCTCATAATTGCTGCTACGTTTGAGCCCTTTGCTGCTACCACTGTACCAATCCATCTCGTCGTGGGTCTCACCTTTCGCTGACCCTCCACTTTACCAAGCATGATGTCCTTCTCCAGGAACTGGTCCCTCCTGATAGTGTGTCTGAAGTATGAGAGACCAAGTCTAGTCATCCTGGCTTCTAAAAAGCTTTCTGGCTGTACTTCGGGCAGTAGAGGATATCTTTACTATTCTTTGCCAACACCATACCTCAAATGCATCAGTTCTTTTACAGTCTTCCTTATTCATTGTCCAACTTTCGCATGCATATGAGGTGATTGAAAACACCATGCGTTGCATTGTTGTTGTTAAGTGCTATGGAGTCAATTCTGACCTTCCAGTTCAAACCCACCTTGCAGTCCAGCGAATTAACCGGCAGCACCACAACAGGGCTCCATCTAGCATTAGGTCTTCAAAAATGATATAGACAAACATGTAAGCTACTAAGTAGAACGTTGTTATGATAGATATCCTGCTATGTACTAGAGAAGAAATGCAGAATGGTCATTTCTACCTTGACTCCAGGAGTTCTGGTGTGGCGCTGTGGGTTAATGCGCCAGACTGCAAAGCTGTTTGAACTGCAAGGTCGGCAGTTCAAGCTCACCAGCTGCTACCCGGAAACCCTATACAGGGTCGCTATGGGTCGGAACCAACTTGATGGCACTTCACAACAACAACAACCACCTTGACGCCAAGTTATTTTTAGGACAAGTTATTTTTAGGAGGTCCTCCTCTAGGCACCTGTTAACTGGGAGAAATTGTTTTTCTCCTTAATATTTGTGTTGTGAGATGCCCTCAAATCTGCTCCGACTCATAGAGACCCTATGAACACCAAACTGCAACACTGCCCAGTCCTGTATCTTCCTCACAATTTTCCTATGTTTGAGCCTTTGTTGCAGCAAATGTGCTGATCCATCTCGTTGAAAGTCTTTCTCTTCTCAGCTCTCTGCTTTACCAGCCATGGTGTTTTTCTCCAGGAACTGGTCCCTTGTGATAACAGATCCAAGAAGAACAGGACAAAATTTCACCTTCCTTATTTCTAAGGAGATTCTGGCTGTACTTCACCAAGACAGATAATATGTTCAATGTTTTTAGCCAACACCATAATTCAAATGCATCATTTCTTCTTTGATTTTTCTTATTCATTGTCCAACTTCACATACATATGTGACAATTGAAAATACCATGACTTGGGTCAGACACACCTTGGCCTGTCTCAGAGAGAAACTTTTGCTTTTTAAGATTTTTTAAAAGGTCTTTTGCAGCAGATTTGTCCAGTGCAATATTCCATCTGATTTCTTTCTCTCTTTTTTTAAATGTTTTATTGTGAATTATGTGATAGCTTACATGGGAGAACATTAGTTTTACAGTCATCCTATCGTATATTGTTTCATTGCCATGGTTACAATCCCCTCCATGCATCATCAACCAACCAAAGGGTATACATCCACCTGATTTCTTGACTGATATTTCTATGCATATTGATTAGGGACCCATTGTATTCAAACAACTGCCTCTTGGGCTATGTGCAGGTTCTGCATGAACATAATTAAGTGATCTGGAATTCCCATTCTTTGTAATGTAACCCATAATTTGTTATGGTCAATAAAACACAGGTACAAGGATACCTCAGTGACAGTGTGGGTATGGTTTCCAAATCACCTCAATAAAGCCAATATTGCAATAAAATGAGTCACATTAATTTTTTGCTTTCCCAGTGCATATAAAAGTTATGTTTACACTATACTGTAGTTTATTAAATGTACAATGTTCTTGTTGTTATTAAGTGCCATTGAGTCGGTTCCAACTCACAGTGACCCTGTGTACATTTTCCGAGGAGCAGTTTGTAGGTTTAGCTTTGTGGGTTTAGCTAACCAGCTTTGTGGTTAGCAGTTCAGTGCTTATCTGACAGTGCCACACCAGGACTCTAGTAAGTATTATGAAAACATTTGCAATATTGTGAAATTTACCAAAATATGACCCAGAGACATGAAGTGAGCACATGCTGTTGGAAAAATGGTGCAAATAGATTTGTTCAAAGCAGGGTTGCTACAAATGGCTCATTTTTTAAAAACAAAACACACTATCTGTGGTGTGCAGTAAAGCAAAGCTTAATATAATGATGGAGTCCTATAAACATATGTCATGGACTGAATTGTGTCCACCCCAAATATGTGGCAACTTGGCAGCGTTGGTTACAATCCTCAGTGGTTTGGCAGTTCTGTGGTAATGCAATGTGGTAGCTATGTGACAGTCTCCAGGACGTGATAAACCAATAAGAGCTTTAAGGGTAGGATTGTTGTTGTTGTTGCTATGGGCCTTCATGTCGGTTCTGATTAAACTCCTGGCATGGTACTATGGGATCCACTATGGACTGAGAACCATAAGGTCAGCAGTTCAAACCCACCAGCTGCTCCTCGGAAACCCTATGAGTTGGAATCAACTCAACAACAGCACAGGGTTTCTGAAGAGCCACACCAGGACTCCCACTAAAGACCTTTGTTGTTGTTAAGTACCATTTAGTTAATTCCGGTTCCTAGAGACCCTATATAGGGTCTCTGAGGCTTTTTAAATCTTTGCGGAAGCAGAAAGCCTCATCTTTCTCTTGTTAAGCAGCTGGCAGGCTCAAGCTGGGACCCCTGCAGTTTGCAGCCCAGTGCTTTTTGTAGGGAACCCACCGCATTACAATTTATCAGGAAAGCCCGTGAAGCAGTCCTATAGGTCCAAATGGCAAGGGGTTTGCTTTCTTGTTTTATTCAAGGTAAAAAGACCAAATGTTCATGTTGTGAGATGGTTTTACTTTGAAAAACTTGTTGCCAGGAAACATGTTTGGGTTTATGAATATTCATGTTAGAAGTTACTTTCTCTATATTTTTATTCTAAAAAAGAGGGAAGAAATAAGCATTTAATGTTTGCAAAAACAGAGACAGAAACAAAATTAATTTAGGGTGCCTATGTGCTACAACTCCACACGTCTGTCAGTCTGTCATACCATGATGATTTGCATGCTGCTGTGATGCTGGAAGCTATGCCACTGAGGTTTCAAAAACCAGCAGGGTCACCCATGGTAAACAAGTTTCAGTGGAGCTTCTAGGAGAAGAATAGGTGAAGAAGAAGAAATAGGTATTTCTGAGTGATTCACCTCTGAATACCTTGTGAAGAGCAGCAAAACACGTCTAATATAATGTCAGAAGATGAGCCCCTCAGTTGTAAGGCACTCAAAATACAACTCTCAAAGGAGAGTCAACCTTAATGACAGAGATGGTACAAAGCTTTCAGGACCTACATTTGCTGATGGGACACACTGAAAATGAGAAGAAACAGTTGCAACCATCCACGGATAATGGGAATGTGGAATGAATGAAGTCTGCATCTAGGAAAATTGGAAGTCATCAAAAATGAAATGGGATGCATAGAGATTAATATCTTAGGTATAAGTGAGCTGAAATGCACTAATATTAGTCATTATAAATTGAGCTTTCACATGACTTACCATGCCAGGAATGACAAATTGAAGAGGAATAGTGTCACAGTTATAATAAAAAAGAACATTTCAAGATCTAAAATACAGTCTGTCTGTGATAGGATAGTATCTATATGCATACAAATTTATGCACCAGCTACCAAAGCCAATGATGAAGAAATTGAAGAAGTGCTGGACTGCTAAAAACAAGGTCTGAGGTTCAAACCCACCAGCCGCTCTTTGGAACAGTATGCAGGGTCACTATGAGTTGGACATGACCTGAAGGTACTTAGCAAAATGACAACAACCTATGTCTTCAGGATGAAATTGATCAAACATGGAGTCAAGATGCATGATGATTAGAACATGAAAGTTGGAAGCAAAGAGGAAGGATTGGGAGTTGGAAAATATGGCTTCAGTGATACAAATAGTACAGGAAATCACATGATAGAATTTTGTGAGACCAACAACCTATTCATTGGAAATAACATTTTTCAACAACAGAAATGTTGACTATACACATGGACCTCGTTAGATGGAGTATGTAGGAATCAAACTGACTACAGAAGTGAGAAAAGAGAATGGGAAAACTCAGTATCATCAGCCCAAACAAGGTCATGGGGCGACTTTAGAATAGACCATTAGTGCTCATCTGCAA